ACCAAGGCTTATGTCAAGGGTGACTGGGTGACGAGGTTTGGCGACCTTGGGGCGGCCCATGTCGCAGCGAAAGTTGCATTTGGCTGCTTAATGATCCGGATTAATCCGGATCGTGCTACTCAGGGTGGTTCTCCTTTGCGTAGTGTGGAAATATAACTTTTGGGGGAGGTTCCTCTGACTAGTAGCGCTCGCGGGTTAACATGAGGCTGACAACTCTGAGATGACCCCGCAACACAAACTCAGGTGTGTTTTTCTGCGTAGAGTATTGTATTGTAAAGGTACATGGTTTCCTGCGTGCCATGCGTCTCACGTGCATTTGAGCGTGCGCGTTCTTTGAGGGTTCCCTTTTCGGGCTGTCTCGCCGGGAAACCACCTGGACCTGAACACCTGCCAGTTCTTTGCCCGTTTCGGCGTCGTTTCGCGGGGGTTTCCCACCCGAAAAGGGCTGTTTCGCGGGGGGGGGAGTTCCCACCAGGAAACCCAGCAGTTTTCCCCGGATCGGTGGTTTAGTGATTCGGGGGCGGTTTTTATTTGCCCTCTACCCCAAACCACCAATCCAAAACACCAATCAAAGGGCCGGACGCTCCAATGGCTGGCAAATAAACCTAAAACAGCCATTGGGAGGTTATGCCACAGACCATTTGCCAGTTGGGGGGTCCTGGTACAAGATACCAAATTTGAGGTGCCCCAATTAAGGGCTACCTGGATCCCCAAGTAGCCACTTTCTTCCAGCCACTTTACCCACCAGCCCATAATTTGATGCAAAAGGAGCTGGAAAATAATTTGGCACAGCCCCCCAACCACCTTATTTCAGGTGGGTGAAATAGAAAAAACATCACCCAGGTCAAGGGGCGGATTTCAGCCACCCCATCCATCCATCACCTAACGACGTCTCCATCTCAGGCTGGGCCTGGCGCAGCAGCAGTTGGGGCAGGAGCTGAGGCCGTGGCTGGCCGGGGGCCTGAGCTGTCGGATTTTTTTGGGTCTGGCTCAAAATGAAACGGGTGGGTCTTACGCAGGTTTCGGTGTTTGTTTCGACTTCTCAGGGTTCCATTTTAGGTACCGGTTTTCTTGGAGCCACACCCATTTTTGTTGGAGCTAGGGTACGTCAGGGTGCGTCAGGCTGACGTGGTTAGTACGCCTGGTTATCCACTTTCTAGGGAGGCCTGGTTAGAACCCACTGAAGGGAGACTAGGGTACTGTTGGTTTGTTCAAGGGAATCTATCACTCTTCGAACTATTTTTTAGCTTTGCCATGGTCTTAAGCAAATGGAGGGGTACAGCAGGTAAGTGATTAGTACGGGTGATCCACTGAACGGAGACTTATAACTCTAAGTGGGTTGGAACCATGGTTAATCCATGGTTATCACCACTTAATAAGTACAATGCCCCTTCAAGTGTGGATACCCCTGCCAGAAAGCGAGTAAACCACAGACCATGGTGGATTTTGAAGGGTGGAACATTTTTCAAAGTAGTGAGTCAAAAGCTTGGACGTTTGTTGGCCAATCCACCGGAAGTGGGTTTCCTTTGTCGCAATATATCTCCACTTACTCCATAGATTTTGATGGACACCATCATTTGTAGAAGAATCTCCTTTTGGGTTGGAACCCTTTTGTTGGTTAAGGGGAACCCCGGATCTAAGTAGACCCATTGATTTTGGGGAAAGGGGGGTGTCCCAGTTCTTTTAGTCTTTCCCCACAATTTGGAGGGAACTCATGTCTATGGTCCATTTACTGTCCTGCACAGTAACATGGAAACCAACCATTTGTAGAGGAATCTCCTTTTGGGGGACATGTCAATTTGCAGGGGAGTAAGCTCCAATTTTCAGCCACAACCAGAGCCCCCCCATCTCTTGGCAGTCATTCTGACTGATTGGAGCTTCTCAACATGGACACACCATTTTGGCTGCTAGTGGGAAAGCAACAGGCAACCAACCACAGGGGACCCGATTTTGATAAACCTGATTGGTTGGTAAACCCCATTTAATCCCTATTTTGAGAAACCCGCAATTGCCCCTTTGGAGTCCCAGGGAAACAACTGGCAGCTCGATAGGTCAGGGTCGGGTCGGCAAGTGGCACCGGACCACGTGTCAGATGGATTTCGGGCCTTTGAATCGATAGCCGTTCGCCAAATTGAAAGGGCTTTTCCTCGCATCGACAATTTGTCAATTTGGCTAACATGTTCTTCGACCATTGTACTGTGGTGGGTGGAAGTAGATAGTGCAACTTCTCCATGTTGGTTGCATCATCTCTTATCTGGTGTCTCCCCCAGCATCATTTGTTTTGGGGCGAAATGTGGGTTGGGTCAACATAACGCCACCAGGGAACCGCAGGTTTTTTTTCATGTTTCCACTCTTAGGGGCTCCAATTTGGGGGTTACCTGTTCTGCCACACAGCCATGTGGAACAGAGTCAGAAAGCAAAACTTTCAGTCCACCCTGAAAGTTTAAGGGCCAAACGAACCATACCAATCAAACAGTTTATTATGACGAATTCCTGCTCGGAAGTACATGTTCATGCGATGTGTTTAGGCCCTGGCGGCCTTTTGGTGGTAAGCAAAATGCGTCGACTTTCGTTTGGCCCATCCACGCAGGAAGTGAGGTTCCCCCCCACACCCACCGGTACACCATTGAGGTGGGTGCTTGCCCTTTCTCCTACCGGAAGCGATTCAGCAACCTGCACTGTGGCATTCAGGCGGGGCCTTGGACGAGACGGTCGTATGAATTTCGGCGGATATCTTTACCTTCGTTAGGTACATAGCGGATGCCCATGTTGTATTTTTTCCCCAAAAGTTTATGACCAGGGTTTCCCTTTGGTTTCCTATCAAAGCCAAGCCCCACCAAGATGACCACAAAATCGCGAGAGGGCCAAAAAGTCCGAGTGGCGAGCGCATGTCTTCGCGGAGATCCGGTGCAAAAAAAACACTCTCAGGGCTCCGAGGCCATGAGTACCCGGATCCACCCATGGAACCCTTCGGCGTTCGGCGTGGGGTTGGCTTGGAGCATGTTTTTTTTTCCTGAAGGGAGCGGGTCCCGAACGTCAGGTTCCATGTTACTTGGTGGGGGGTACATTTCTTTGCAGGAACTTTCTGTTTATCACAGCGTACTCGTAAGTCAAGTTGATTGGCGCATCTTACAGCTGCACTAGATATAGCAAGCTCACCGAGTCGGGGTGAAAGGAGCTCGCCCATGATGAAGATCCCTCAGGGATTCAGCAAGAGCATTCTAACATGTTTTGTTCACTTTTGGGTTCTTTCGGGTTTATCCTTTTAGAAAGCACCCCGGTTTCGTTGGCTTGAAGCAAACCCACAAGTTGAGCGCCGCCGGTTTCTAGACACTTTCTCACGCTCTCGCGCACGCGCAAAGGGCCGGAAGATCTTCTACTACCGCGCCCGGCTAGTGCCCGGCTCAACGTTCGGGGGCCCAAAGGATCCCGGCCATGGAGCTGGTGAACCGTGGATGTGGCCAATACCAAATAGAGAAGACCTGCCTTGAGTCGCACGAAACACACGTGAGAAGAATGACTCACCATCAGCCATGGCTTGTATTGCGAAAGCATGACATCTCCGGATGAAGCTCATCCCTTTCGGGTTTGTTTTTCTTTCCAAAGAATCGCCTGGGTACCTGAAATTCACATCTTTCCGGGACCTGCAGCCTCGGTTGGAGAGAGGGTACCCGATGTCGATCATCAAGCCTATAATTAACACCGGTCCCCCAAAACGTGATGCCGGACAGGGTAAAAAGGGTTTCCCATGGAGCTCATCAAGGGTTTTATTGATCCTATAGGTGTCAGAAATGTTGGAGACCTCCAAAATGATCAAAATGTCCTTTGCTTTCCATGTCAAACCCTAAGCCTTAAAAAAACCACACCCCCTCCCAAGACTGGGTTCATTATTTCAACTGTTTCTAGGGTCATCAAAGTCAATAAATGGGACTGTTCCCTTTTCACCCACCTCGGGGCTGACTTTGCTCGTGGCATGAGTTGCCAGTCCTAGCCAACTGCTTCCCCTGTCCAAACTCCGTGTCCAAAAAGCAGTGGTTTGGGGGGCGAGGGGTGGGGCGGGTTGGACGGAGCTTCCTTTTCCGACCTGCGAACCAGGGTGCAATTGCCGGACAGCACCCCGGTGGCTGACTGGGCCTGGTGTGCCCGACAGGACTGCGCCCAGGGCATATATAATACATGTATCTTTTTGCATGGAACCCCGGCAAGAATAAAGCACGGACGAAAAACAAAAACGGTGGTTCTTTCTTCAGGTTTCCCTTTAAACCGGTTAAGTTGCTTTGTCCGGTAGCTGGGAAAACTACGGGCAAGTAGTTGTTTACAGGAAGCCGATCTCAATCTACTAGGAGCCGCGTGTAGCCTGCAGGAAGCTGTATTCATCGTGCGGCAAAACCAGCCCAATCGAGGTCAATCTCGGTTGCAATCTTTGTCATGCCCCACACAAAGGGTCAGTGGCTTTGGGGCGGGTGCCTGGAACGGAAAGTGGCAGCCAAAGACGCCCAGTGACGATGCCCATGCTCCTCTCGGCTTCCTGCATGGTTCGGTCATGTTGCACATGCCGAATGGGGACCCAGGAAGGGGCGCCCCCGGGAACCAAGAACACGGGACACGGGACGCCTGCCATGCTGGGTCAAAGGATGCTGACCATACAATACTCTGAGTATGTGTGTGCGCCTGTTTAGTCCTCAGTTTGAGGAAGGAACTGGGTATGTATTGTATACGCTTCGCGTTGCCCGCCTCGGCCAGTCCGCTTTCGGCTGGCTTTGAGGTATACACCGTGCTTTAGTTTACCTTAAAGTCTTGTGTTTATTACACTAAGTGAGTCGGCGCCAAAATGCGTGAGCTGGTTTCCAAGGTAGAGGGTGGGTGCATGTCTGTGTGTTTCCACATGGCTTCAAGAGACAGAACAAGAGCGGTTGGGGTGGAATTTTGCCGGTTTCTGGAGGGAGTTGGCATGTTTTTGGCGATGGTTTGACAGGTTTCTCGACTGGTTTCTTGACCGGGGTTGATCGCATTCTAGAGGGGAATTTGACGCGGCTTCGAGGCTCCCTTCAGGCGGACTGGGGTTTGGGGCTGGGATCCCGAACAGGTTCTGAAGGGGTCTAACCGCTTCCCGGCCCTCAGGGCCGAGGCGAATAAATGTATTTATAAATGGATTAGGGGGCTTCTCAACATACTGGACCCTTTGGTTGGCATGTACAAAAAATAACCCAAAAGGAGAACAAACATTTGAGGGACCGATGGAGTTTTTCGGGGAAACACCCCACATCGAAAGGTACATCGGGGATCCCACTTTTGAAGGGGTTCCCCATTGAAATTCATGCCTACATGGGTGTGTGTGTCACGAAAAAACACATCCCGCGGAGAGGGAAACGATGTGTGCGGTAATTTAGATTTGGTGAGCGAAGCTTGACCCCGGGTGCACGAACCTTGCGTCTCAACGGGGAAATTCTGAAATGAAATTTTCAGCAGAAGGCTGCATGGCCTCAGCTCAAATCTCCAACGTGTCGCGGCGCAAGCCTCAAGCGGGACTGAACAAGTTACACTTGCAGATGCGTTCTTATTGTTTCAAGGGTGCTGTTGGCCAAAAAATAGTTTTTGCTGGCGCTGAACTGGGTATTTGCCGTGAGAGGAACTGCAAGAGCTCCTGGACGAGGGCGAATGGCGTCTGCCTCAATCGGAAGGAGGACCAGTGGCTTGCTTCCTTTCAACTTGGTTTTTCAAGCTGAGAATCAACTACCTAAGAACGTGTGCTCATGGCCACTGGGGGTAACGGAGAATCATCGTGCCGCGCTCAGAGCGAGTTGCAAGTTATATTCAGTCTGTGTCGAGAGCTTGAGCTCGGGACAGGTTGCGTGTCGCCCTCCAAGCTATAAAAGATGGCGCCTGGATCTTTACTGTATACCGGAATACCTTCCCACTTTGTGGACCACCCCCACCCAAATCCCTGTCCACCAAAGGGCCCCCAGTGACAGATCATAGATGACTCAGATGGCTTGTGCATAGTCGGTTGACAGAGGGTGGTGTCCCGTTGAGAGCGAATTCTCCCCTGTAAGACCACAAAAGCACCTTTGAGCTGTCGGGAATGGTTCCAACGCCTCCCTTTAGATAGAGCTAGGGTGATCTTCCAGGGCTGCATTCTAAAGCTGGAACTACTCATCAGATAGTGCCCTCGAAAGAACAACACACCCATAAATGGGAACCCGTTGTTTTGACGCGTCTGAATTGTGTTCCAAAGGTTGCCGCCAGCCTGCCGTTGCCCCGGACGCCTTCTAACTGGGTAAATTACTGGGAGGACCACCCTGGCAACTGCCTGGGACTTACTCGGGATTCCTCAATGACTTACTGGGCCGCTCATTCACGTGTATCACTCTCCCAAAGTAAGCTGCTTCAGCGGACACAGATGTGGGATTTCCAGATTCGCAGGAATGATCGATTCAATGTCGAAGGATGAATCCACCATGAAATGGCTACCGTCTTTAAAAGGTACCCTTGGTCTGCCAAGGATCCGCAAAACCAGGGTCCTGCGAGATTTTGATCTTGGCAAATGGAAATTCGGCCCTAGGGCCCCGCTTGTCCGGGGTCCTGGAAGATCAAGGTACCGTCTTCAACGGTTCCCGTCTGAACCCGTCACCTCCATGAACCGAGGCAAGCCGTGCGAGACTCCCTGCCGCTGGATGACGTCAGCGAGCTGCTGACGGATGCGCCAAGGCTCAGCGCCTAAAAAGGCGAGATCCGCCTCTTTGCGCGCAAACAAACCCTCGGCCATTTCGTGCTACTTGATTTTGCAGGGAAGGTGTTAAGCAAAGAAAAGCACACATGAAGTATGTATATATTTATATAAAGCTATAAAACAATTATAATTAAAAATGGGAGAACTTTAGAACCCATAGAACCAAAAGTCAACGGGCTATTGCAAAGCTCCCTTTTCGTTGGACATAGAGCCCAAATAGCTTTCAAACTTTGGGAAGTGACAGCACTCTGGTTTGACCGAACTTGCTTTCAATCTTTGGGAAATGACAGTTACAAGAAAGTAGCGAAACGAATATATAGCTAACGTGGGGACAAAGCCAATGTTTGGTGGGTTTGGCGCATTTAAAGTGGGCTGTCTGCCATTGTGGGGTGATGTGTATACGGATCTCTGTTCCAAGCACGTGTAGAGGGAAAGAAATGTTCCGCACAAGTGAAGAAGGTTCCATGCGTCACATCCATGGAAGCTTACAATAGCTGCAGGGAGCCTAAAGGAGCCAGTGGTATTTGAGCCACCGGGTTTAGATGAAGGTAAGGGACAATCATTTGAGCCTATGGCAAGCTGGAATCAGAAACGAGCTCATAAAGGTCCTTTACCTGGGGATCCCAGAAAGGTGTTTCACAACTCCAACTGCAGAAATGACGTTTTTGTTTATCAAACATTTGGCTGTGGCTCGTACCCAAAATGGGCCCTAGGTAAATGGAACAAAAACCCAAACCTCTGCAACCCCAGCCCACAAAGAAAATGAGCCACACCCATTTCACCGAGGGAGCATACAAACATGGTATCTCTGCAGAAATCAAGTTGGGTTTCGATTCTTGCACCCAGCGTACCACAACCGAAATCATGACCTAAGAGTAATTATGATTCCCCGTGAACCAGGACCACGGCGACCCTGAAACACTGAAACACCTACAGTTCATCTCACGGAGCATCTCTCTTGACATATCTCGGTGCAATCGTTCATGCAATCTCGCCGTGCAATCTCTCTGAGCAATCTCTTCGTGGCGTCTTTTCTTGGCATCTCTCAGTAAATATCGCATGTATAATCACTCTGAGCAGTCTTTCCGAGGAATCTCCCGTGTAATCTCTCTAAGCAATGTCTCCGTGACATCTCTCCTTGACATCTCTCGGTGCAATGTCACATGGAATCACTCAGAGCAATCACTCTCAGGAATCTCCTGTGCAATCTCCTTGAGCAATCCCTCCTTCACATCTATCGGTGCAATGTCACTGTTGCAATCACTTCGAGCAATCTCGCAAGCAATCTCTCCGAGCAATCTCTTCCAGCAATCTCTCCCAGCAATGTCTCTTACCAATCTCACACGCAATCTCTCCGAGCCACGCTGAGCAATCTGACTAAAAACCCCATCGATGGCCCAGGTTTGCGCACCCTTATTTTCCTCACCCAGAGGCTCCCGATTGATTTAGGGCCTTCAAACAACCTGGTTTTGAGACCCCCAACCACCTCCGGGGTGTCTAATGGAGTGGTCGGGTCTTCCATTGAAAGCTCCCAGGAGCCTCTGGGTAAGGCGAGTTTTCGAGCGTTTTGTCGCCCAGCCCCGGCTCGAGACGCGCAAAGTCGCCCAGCGGGGAGTCGGGAGCCGCTTGGAGCCGAGCGTTGGGATGGCCGACGAATTGCCCGGGGAGCCGGACTCGGACAAGGCCAGGGCGGGTCGGCGATGTTGCGGCACCTTGATGGATATTGTTGGGTCTTTGGACGAACTTTTTGGAGACACATTCTCTTTGCAGAGGGGTCAACAGCAACCCAAGTAATGTCCCTCATTTTGGGGGGGTTGAAGAAGAACCAAAAGCAGCCCAGCTGTTTTTGGTGTTCTCACTGTGAGAGAACCCCCTTGATGTGTCAAAACAGAATTCCCTTGGCGCGCCTTGGGATTGCCGGAGCTTGCTCCGACCATTGGGAAACGTGAATATCACTCCCTGCTCCCCAGGTTGAACCTGTTCAAGAAAAACACCCACCGGGTTCCCCCTTTGAGTCAGGCGCCGATGTTTTTGAGCGGGCGCATGGGGATTCCCTTAAAGCAAAGCACATGATCAATATTCCGGTGGGCCCCAAATGAGCATGGGTCACTTTCCCGTTTAGTGGAAAAGACATTGTTTTGGTGGTTTTTCCCCGGTCATCCCATGTTAACCGGACCTTTTGATCAACCCTACGTATCCCGAAGAAACGTCCGAAGTTTGCCCCGAAAGAATAGATCTCCTGTTTTTGGGAATCGCCAATGGGCACCGATAGACCAGGAGCCGAAATCCGGATTCCAATTCGGCGTCCTTCAGAGCCCGATGGCGTCAGAACTCCGCTCATGTCCACAGGGCCAATGTCCAAGGAACGGTTGTATATTATGGTGTGCGCTAAAATCTGAGAATCTTAAAAAATGCGGTTTGCAGTTGAATTCACGTAAAGCGCACCAAACACAGGCTCCCCAAAAAGGAGAGATCGATATGTGGCCCATATCTTTGCACCTGCTATCCATGAGGTTTACCTTGGGGTGGTCAAGTCCTACAACGACCGCAGAGGCTTCGGCTTTGTGGCATGCGGCTTGGCTGAGAAGTTTGTGCGTGAAAGGGAACAAAGGTGAGTATGCGGGGGGTTGTTCAAAAGGCCCTTTAGATGAGGAACCGTTAGGAAACCACTAAAAGGATGGCTTTCACCACTAAATGGGAAAGTTAACGATGGTCAATTTGGGCCCCATGTGTGTGTGTGTGTATGTTTTTGTTGGGGACACTTTGGACATTATGCCAATGGAATATGGGAAGGGCCATCCCTGCAGTCATTTGCGAGCATTGCAATACATCAACACAACAGCGCACAAACGAGTGGACACACCCACACAAAATACTGACATACGACAACAGAAACAAACAAACGCAAACACAAACACACAACCAAGCACAGAAATACGCACAGCCAAACACACAAACGCGCACAAAGTCACACACAGAGCCTGGCACACACACCCACACAGACTGGCAAACACATACACAAACAAACCAACAACTAAAAAAACAAAGAAACAAACACATACATAAGTATGAACACACATAAAGAAACACAACAATACACCGAACAAGCACGCGCACACACACACACACACGCATACGCATACGCACACGCCTACACATACATACACATACACATACATACGCATACCCACACACAGGCACACGCACACCCACACACACACACAAGCACACACACACACACAAACACACACACACACAAACACACACACACACAAACACACACACACAAACACACACACACAAACACACAAACACACACACACAAACACACAAACACAAACACACACACACACACCCACACCCACCCACCCACGCACGCACGCACGCACGCACCCACACACACACACACACGCACACACGCACACACGCACACACGCACACACGCACACACACGTACACGCACCTGCACACGCGCGCGCATGCCCGCACGCACGCACGCACGCACGCACGCCCGCCCGCCCGCCCGCCCGCACGCCCGCACGCACGCACGCACGACGCACGCACGCACGCACGCACGCACGCGCGCGCGCGCGCACGCGCACACGCACACGCACACGCAACACGCGCACACACGCACGCACGCACGCACGCGCACACGCGCACGCGCACGCGCACGCTCGCACGCGCACGCGCACGCGCACGCGCACGCGCACGCACACGCACACGCACACGCACACGCACACGCACACGCACACGCACACACACACGCACACGCACACGCACACGCACACGCACACGCACACGCACACGCACACGCACACGCACACCCACCCACCCACACACACACATGCACGCGCGCACACACATACGCGCACAGAAACAATCAGAATCACAACACGCAAACAGAAGCCAACAAAGCACAAACAAACAGACAAAACAAACAACCAAGCAATCAAAAAGTCAAACAATGAATGAAACCAACAAACAAGCACGGAAGCGAGCAAACCAAACCAAACGGAGCCGAACCAAGCAAACAAACGAACAAACAAGCAATCAAGCAAACAAACAAACAAGCACTTAACCAAACAAGTAAACAAGCAAGCAAACAGTCAAGCAATCAATCAATCAAACCGCAAACATGCAAAAAAAACAATCACCCGCACACGCACACAAGCAAAAGAACGAACAAGCAAACAAGCAAGCAAGCAAACAAACAAACACACGCACACACATACAACCAACCAGCCAGCCAACCAACCAACCAAACAACCAAACAACCAAACAACCAAACAACCAAGCAAAAAGAAAAACAACAAACAAGCAAACAAACAAATAAACAAACAGGCAAACACACAAATAAGGGCAAACACTCAAACACATGCACACAAATACAAATACACAAGCACGCACACACACCACACACACACACAAGCACACATCTAAACATGCGTTAGCAATCACACATACAACTATACAAACACAGCCACACAAACGCACACACACACAAACACGAACACACTCACACAGGCAAACACACCCACACGTGCAAGCACACACACAGACAGAAGCGCAGCCAAAGGAAAACACATGCAGGTGCAGCCATAGCGGAGACCAAAGGAATGCGAGAAAGCTTGGTCCCACCGTGACTTATTACGCTGTTTTTCCACCCAAAACCGCCTCAAGAGACTCCGTTTCAGAGAGGGGAGTCAGGCGTTTGGCGGAGACCTTGGGGAACATGGCTTGCCTGGGAGCTTCCTGGGCTACGAATTTCAATTGGCCGCCTGCAAAAGTGGTTGGGGGACAGGAATCCCGAAATGTCCGCCGAGGAGTCTGGGGCCCATTTAAGTTCACACCCAATTCGAAGATTGTGGTCTCCACCTACAGCCTATGCAACATGAAATCCCGGCACCGGGCCCTCACGGAGATTTCGAGCTGTACTTAAGCAATTAAGGTTCCCGTATTTCCTTTCTGCTGGTAAACATCCCCTTTAAATAATTGCAAAGTGAC